TATGAGCATATAGGACATGCCATTTTCTGCCAACTTGGGATAGCTAATATTGAAAAAGTATAGAAACACATACTTACAGATAAAATCATTTGCATAAGACTACATGTCCATTTTATTGGAGTTTTCAAGAGGTTGGGGTTTTTTAATGCATTTGGATGCCTTTTTCTACCTAAAACCAAATTTTCACTTTTTACATGATAAACAACAGTGGAAATGTCCTCAAAAGTTCACGCTGAGCGCCCAGGAGGCAAAGATCTGCTTTTTGCTGGGAACTATCTGATGTGATCTACTTTCCTTTGTTCCCTGGTGTCGTGGTTTAGCCCCAGCCAGCAGCTAAGCACCACGCAGCCGCTCACTCACTCCCCCTGCCCCGATGGGATGGGGGAGAGAATTGGAAGAGTAGGAGTGAAAAAAACTCCTGGCTTGAGATAAGAACAGTTTAATAATTGAAATAAAATAAAGTAAAATAGTAGTAGGAATAATAACAGTATAATAGTAATAATAATATACAAAGTAAGTGATGCACAATGCAATTGCTCACCACCCGCCGACCGATACCCAGACAGTTCCCGAGCAGCAATCGCTGCTCCCTCCCCAACTCCCCCCAGTTTATATATTGAGCATGACTTTATATATTGAGCATGACATCATATGGTATGGAATAGCCCTTTGGGCAGTTTGGATCAACTGTTCTGGCTGTGCCCCCTCCCAGTTTCTTGTGCACCTGGCAGAGCATGGGAAGCTGCAAAGTCCTTGACTAGCATAAGCAGTACTCAGCAACAACTAAACCATCAGTGTGTTATCAACATTCTTCTCATCCTAAATCCAAAACACAGCACTGTGCCAGCTACTAGGAAGAAAATTATCCCAGCCAAAACCAGGACACCTGGGCATGATTGTTTTTGCTCGTTACCTGGAGCAGCAGTGCCCTGGAAGTTGGATTTTGTGCATTCTTGTCCAGAGTCCCGAGGTCAGAAGGAGGATGTTGTCCAGCCGTCCTGTCGCTGCCAGCTCTCTGCCGAAGGCAGGGTAAAATGCATAAACACTCACTCTTAATATTCAGCCATGCCACTGACTGTCGCTGCCTGCACGATACTCTCTGCTCATCTGTGGGGTCCCCTGACTTTCCTCTGGCATCAGGAAAAGTGTGGCACATTGGTTTTTTTCATAATCCGAGACCACTCTCCCAACTCCCAGAGTAGCCATGGGACCTCGTCACACAGAGCTTGAGAAAGGAAAGTCTTACGTATTTAGCCTTCTGTTTGCTCACAGAGAGAGGCACCCATAAGCCAGGAACATAGTAAATTGTTCAAAATGCTAATTTTGGAAAGGAGAGGGAAATTATTTCACTGATTAAATATTCATGATGTGCTCATATATTACAGCAGTAGGTTTATAAATACATGGATGTAGTGCTGGCTGGTAGGAGACTTTGTAGAGGAAACCATTCTCTTCCTTGTGCCATGATTGACATCTCCATGCATGCAGAGAACTAGACCAGCACGTGTTTGCGATGATGTCTGGAAAAATTTGCTTTAATTAGTTAAAAAGAATAAAGTACAACAATGCATTTTATTTTAATCTGTCTTTAAAACTGAAATACTCAGATAATTAACAATCCTGTAGGTTTACTTTATAAAGCTGTAAATGTTTTACCAGAATACTTGGACTCTCAGGACAACTGGGGCAGTTTTAAATGATCTGGCATAGTAAAAACTTTTCTCTTTTCATGGTATACATATAGGTTTCATGTCTTCTTCCTTATCATGTGAGGTTGCCTTTTCGAATTCATTCCCTTTGTATCTCACACAGCTGCCTAACTCCGTGCAGGCACACACACTCTCAGCCCTCCCCCAGACATCTGTTCTGCTTCTCAGTACCAGGTGCCAGAGTTTGAGCTTGTTGGGAGGAGGGGCAGAGACAAAATCCTTCAAAAAAATTAGATGGCAGTGATATTTTTAACAATATTTGTGGTGGAATTTCATTTTTCACCTCTGTTTTTAAAAAGAACCCAAAAGGCATTAGCTAAAAATACAGAATTTTTTTCAGGTTTTATCTGGAAAAAAGTCAGGCTTTGGTGGGGGTTGGTTTGTTGTCTGGGAAAAGGCTTTCCTCCAAAAATTTTCCCAAAGTGAGCATACTGATGTAGCATCCCAGCAGTAAAAGGCCATGACAACTGTAATCCTGTATCTAGTCTGGGATTATTTTTCCCACGTGGGAATACATTTCATTAGAAACATAGCTGTACCTTCATCACTAAGTTTTGGTCCGCAGAAGGTCTTAAATACCTTGCTTCTACCTGCAACACATCCATTATGTGAAATCTTCCGAGCATGCCCTAAGCTACCATGGGTTTCTAGAGGTCTCAGATGGCCGGTATTGCTCCCGTAAAGTCCAGAATGCTGAAATGTATTCTACTCTTTATGTACCAAAGTGGTCCTGTTCGGCATTTTGGTTGTGTTTTGGGTTTGGTTTTTTTTTTGACAGAGGTGAGCAGAAAATGCTTGGGCTGTCAGAGCCAGAGCATTTCCCTCAGCAAGCAGCAAGGAGGAGGTGGGCACCATGGGACCATTCCCTTCCTTAGTCTGGGAACAAGAGTCTCCTCCTCCGCTCCTCCCTGTGAACTTGTCAGAAGGGACTGTCATGGTCACCCACTTCCAGATTTTACTGCGAGTCCTGGTCTAAACTTAAAGAAGCAGAACACAGTCCGGTACCTTTCTCTGTCATTTCCTACCAGCTGCCGTGGGACATTTTCCTCTCGCCATCTTGCACGCATGGTGCATCAGAGGCATGGCTAGGCTGCCTCTGGTTTTTGCCTTCTGATGCAGGCACCTTGCTTCTCTTCTGCTTTTCTCCATCTGGATAGGTAATATGTAATGTAAGCGATAAACCCGAGAAATGTGGAATAAATGGGATTTATTTCAGTAGCTGTGGGCTGGGTGGAGGAGCGTATGGTAGGAAATGCACTGAGTCCATGCTGGGTTAGGGAAAATCAACCCTGGCAATGGAGCAGGGAGGCGGGAGCTGCTCTGTGGTAGCGCCTAATGAACTTGCTTTTAATCCAGTACTATATAGTAATTATTGAGTGGATTAGGAAGGAGGAGTTTAAGTTGCTCTTTCTCCCTCTTTCTTGTCCTCTCTCCTCAAGCATGTCTGCCTCTTATTCTTGCAGTCACTGAAGGCACAGAAGCGCTCTCTGGTCCTACGTACTCCTGCAGAGACTTGAGAGAAAACTCTGCATCTTCCAGCATATTTCCTAGTGGCAAAAACATCAGGAGTGGCTTGGCCACTCGCAGGCTCAGGGTGAAGCAGGAAGCATCAGCTATCAGAGGAGTCACTTTCTGGGGTAGTCTTCAGATAATACACAGAAGGCAAAATGCGTAACGAGGGGAAATGACAGTCGGCAGATTTAAGCCAGATAAAATGGAGCACTTTTTCCCGCACTAATAATTAATCTGTGAGACCAGAAGTTTTGGAGGCCAGATGTACAGATTCAAGAAGGGATTAGACAAATTCATGGAGGAGCGGTCCCCCAATGGCTATTGCAAATGCTGGTCCAGGTGCGGTCTCCCAGAAGACCCTGAATCGCTGGTTGCTGGCAGCTCAGCAAGTCTGTCAGGGCTGACTTCATCCATGTTTCTTGTGCTCTTTCTTTAAGCATTGCTGTTGACTTCTCTCGCACATAACGTGCTCAACTATGATGGGCTTTACGTTGGTCTAGTATGTCAATGCTTAGTGGCTCTTACGATGGAGTTTAATCTGTTGATTAAACAGTCTGCATGACACTACCTCCGGCATTTTTAGGGGGATGATCTCATAGGTCCCTCCAGTAGTTTGGTCCCATGCCTGAGCAGTTTTTGCCTTCCACCCCAGTGAGACGCTGCTGTACGCTCTGAGCCACAAAATAGTTGTCCCTAGGGGTGCTCATTAGCCAGTGCCCAAGCTAGCCAAATTTCTGGGAAGCTCCAAGATGTGAAGCTAATAGGGTTGTCATCAATAAGAGATGGTTACTGAGAGACGTGATGTCTGTTTAAGGGGTTTATGCTCTGTAAGATAGGCCTGAAAAGGACAAAACCAAGTAAGGAGTCTCTAAGCCTTTTCTACTGTGGAATTTGCCTGCCTTTGGTAATATTCCTTCCTGCCCCTATTTTTGTTTGTACTGATAAATGTCCTTGCATTAATAAACTCATAATGCATCTTGTTTATCCCTTCAAAGCGAGCCCTTGCAGCTTTCATTAGCATTTTTAGGATATTTATGGCTTTGTAAATGACTGAAAATCTGCAATTTGTCATTAGGAATTAAGAAAAATCTTCCTTCTGCTTAGGGCTGAAGCTCAGCTTTGGCCTTCAAGGGACTGAGCCACCTCTGGGCCTGGTAGACAAAAACAAAGTCAGACAGTGCCCAGATTTACAGCAGCAAGTGTGGCTCTTAGTTACTCAGATGTCTTTGATAATGTGTCATCCGCTGTTGCTGGCAGGGATCAGTGTTTAGGCCCAGAATTAATTTCTCTCTAGCTGGAGAGAAACCAAAAAATATTTATTCTGCAAGAGGGGGGAAAGAAAAAAAAAAAAGAGAAAGAGGTAGTGACAACGAGAGAAATTAAAACAGCACCAGGCACGTGTAAAAATGCATATATATATTGCATATATGCACATACACATTGCATATAACAGAGAGCAAGTGCTCTTCAGAAGAAAACATTGTATTTCACTCTTGTGCTCTGTACTTTCAGCTTCGAAATACAGGAAGTTAAAAGGATTTTTAAGGTTTCAGAAAGGAGTTTATCTTGTAATTGGTGAAGGGCTAAAGAGTTGGTTGGGGAGGGATAATAATTAAAGGAGCTTTTTCAGCACTAAACTGTAGTCCAGAAAAATCAAAGGGAGGAATGTTAATTGGTTTGTACAACATGATATTCTCGGTTCAGAGTAGCTTCAGCCACTCAATGGTACTTTTTCTTTTTCTCTCTCTCTGTCTTCATAGGTTGATTAAGTGAATAGAGAAAAAAAAAAAAACACGAAGCTGCTTTCAAGTATTGAAGATACAAGGCCAGGATGAACACGAAGGACACAAAAGTGACTGAAGGAGGTCTCAATGTCACACTTACCATACGCCTTCTCATGCATGGCAAGGTGAAGCATTTACGGTTGCCACAGCAGTTGCCTGTGTATTGAGCGAGTGTGTGCAGTTACCATCAGAGCCAGAGACAGTGGCATTGACAGAGGGTCTGCTCCTCCTCCTCCGACCTGAATCAAAAGCACCATTGCCATGACCGAAAAATCACCCCCTGCCTTTCAAGGCATCACACTTAAGTTTGCACTGCAGCCCGAGTTCACTGGAACAAACCCTGCCTGTAACAAACCCGTTTTGAGCAGATCCAGCGGAAAAAAAAAAAAAAAAAAAGAGTTCTTTCATTGACAGTTAGCCAAATTAGGCAGACCCTCGCGTAAGGCTGACCTGCATATGGCTCGCCTTTCTCATCATTTGCTGGATTTTGCAGGGGTGTTTTAGGATACCAGACCATTGACTTGGGTGAAACAATTGCCACAGAATTACTGTCTATTTCTGTTGAATGCAAATGGGATAGTTCTTCGTTATTCTGATGTAGCATCTTATTAGAGTGAACTCCCTGATATACCAAGCATTCATCCAGGTCCCCTGCGGGTTTGTTTTGGAAGGTTGACTGTCATTTAGTTTCTGTCCAGCGCAGCACTTAAGCATGCGGATAAGTGTGAAATCTGTGCCATAGACAAAGAGCCAATTCAGTATTGTCAGACTTAACAGTCTGATAGCCGTTTATTTCACGTTGCCAGATCACAAAATGGGCTTTTAATTAAAAAACACATTTCATAGGTTTGTTTGTCTTATTTGCATCAGGCAACACCAGGCATTTTTAGTCTTAATGAATGAATGTTATTTAAAGGAGATGGTTTTGGCTCGCTCTTAACAAGGGACAGTGAATGTATATGTATAATTTTGGAGATGAAATTTGTATATATAAATCTAAAAAGTATTCTTACTCCTAGAATTTAATTTAATACCTAAAAATACATTTACATTTTAAAACAGTGCATGCTTTCAACCTATGCCATGAACACATATGTGATATACCCATAGCACATGTAAGAGACTAAGGTGTCTCCCTCTGTATTTTACTTCTGGAGCTGCTAAGAAGTATGAGGGGGTACAGTTCAAATTTGCAAATTAAAAAGCTCAGAAGTTAGGTTATGTCAGATCAAATTATGTATTTTCTCAGAAATGATCCAACCATTTTGTTTGATTTCCCCGCCCCCCCAAAATAACTCCGCTTCAGGCAGGCATCTGGTGTGTAAAATCTACATCTTAAATAGGGATCTGTCAAACAAATTTAATAACAGCCTCTCTTACCAAACCCACCTAAAATCTGTGCGCATGTCTGCACTTAAAATTAGGTCTTAGGGGTTGATTCTACTGGATTCTGGTCCCAATCCAGACAAACATTTGAATACATCCTTATCCTGGTGGGTATAAGTAGCCCTACTGGTTTCAGTCAAATTCCCATGTGCTTAGGTGTCCTTTGCTCTGCTTCTTTTAGAGTCATGCCATTAAAGCAAAAACCAAACATTTGTCATTCTCAGGACATTTTAGTTAAACTGTGGGCTAGGGGTTTTTTGAAACAAAAGATATAGTAATCAGAAATGAAACTGGAAAAAGCTAATTTCTGTGTTAAACATCAATGATTGTGTGTGCAGCCACTTTTAACAGTAACAGATGTTATGTGTCCAATCTTCAATGCGTATGTAGCCCCAAGGGTCTAAATTAAACCCATAAAAGCTACAAAGTTCAAATTTTAAGTGGGAGTATAGCGTGCATCCTCAGTTAACAAGGCACGATGGGTATACTGTTAACTCTACTATGCTCTAATCATGTATCCTATTGTGCCTAAGTATTGCGAAGAGCACATTAAATCAGAATTTATTTTAGTGGTAAAAGTCAGACCCTTATGGTTTCTTTGATGTCATTTCTGTGATTTAGAAATGCTAATATAGAGGAATGAAGGATGCCTGAGTCAATATGAACTCGGTGTGAGGAGGTCACACTGAAAGCTGTATGTGCCTCTGCAAAAGAAGAAACATGTTTCTAGGCTCTTCCTTAAGATTTGTTGTGGTAATGACATTGGTGGAAATTGCTGATTTCTAATTAGTATTTCTAGACAAAACAATTAACTGAACCAGAGCTTGGGCTGTAAATAACTGGTCATAACTTGAAAGAGAAGAGGGGAATTAAAAAGTTGTTTTTAAAAATAACAGTAGCAAACTGGATTCAGTTAGGTAATTTAAAAGTAAAATAACTTTAAAGTTATTTATTTATTAGTGTGTTTCATGGAAATACAAGCGTCTGTCCCCACTAAGCTTAACTCTGTCTCTAAACCTCTATTAGCAGTGTACCTTTGCATAGGGAAAGTCTGTGTGCTTTGTGATATTTGCATTCATTTTGATTGAAAGTCCGTAACTTGTGCCTCTATGCTTAGTTACCTCAGCTGTAAATCCTGCAGACCTAGGAAATTTTCAGCGTGTACTTTTCATGTGATTTGTATAGGGGCTTTAAGTCAAGGGTGGACATCTTAATTATGCAATTAAGCTAAATTCTGTACCTGCAGACAGAGAAATCAGGATTTGTGTGAATGAACAGCCCTGTGCGAGAGGGTAGGGAACAGAAGATCTTTAACAACAACAACCAAAGCAAGTAGCAAAAATCAAAGAGAGCGTTAGTGTCTGGTGAAAGGAAAACAGATGGGAACAGTCCTGAGCTCCTTGAGAACCCAGGGCCAGAGCCTCTGTACGGGTAGGACACCTCTCATCAGCTTCTTTGCTTTATCTTGCTTTGGGGAAAGAAGAGGCTGAAGAAGAGGCTGAAGAAGAGGCTGAAGAAGAGAAAGAAGAGGTCCAGCAGAGCTGGGGTGGCCCCTTGGAGGGCCAGCTCAGCCGCTCCTCTGCAGCATAGCAAGACTTGGGAGCAGCTGGCTGGCCACGAGGCACGGCACAGCCTTGATTTTCTCAAGGCAGAAAATGTGATGTTAAGGGAGGGCAACAATTTTTTTTTATCTGTGGAAGCAGCAAAAAAGCTTGTGCAGGCCCAGCAAAAAGCTCACCGCTGTGAGGTATAAAAGGTTAACCTCTGGCTAAACGTTTGCAGGGCCCGGTATGAAAGGCGTCCTCCTGAGCCGGGACTTCAGAGGGTGTGTGATGGTGTGAGATGAAAAGCCTGATTTTCATCTTGCGCCGTGTTACATCAGTAAAAAAGTTACGATAGTGTGACAGCCCGGAAGAGAAACCAGGAGCAATACAAAACATTTGTCAAACTTTCTTGCAGTGAATTAGAGGGCAGGTGTTAGGGAGTGCACTACAAGGGCAGTGCTCAGATGTTCTTCACATCCACAGGGAAGCAACTGTATCTGTTTGCAGGGGATTTTAAAAGCAAAATTAGGAAAAACCTCTTATGCGGCTGTGTGAGGAGGGGAGGAGGCTGCCGGGCATGCCACAGCATCCATCACTGGAGGTTTTTAAGGACAAGTTAGACATAAATGAATATATCCCATAAAGCTGCCATGGGCCTGCAGCCTCTGCTGCCCGGGACCTTTTTGACTGAGTTACTTGAATGCTGCTCTGGAGAGGGCAGGAACTGAAGAGCCTTTTGAAGCATGTGCAGGAGCTGGACATACATATTAAATAATGCAGAGATGCATTTTCATCTTTTATTAATGAGAAAGATGAACCGCATTAAGGCATGAAGCTGTTTTATGCATTTCAGTAGAGAAGAACAGGGAATATGGGCTGGGGCTCTTTGCATTGCCCTACTTCTGTATTTTCCATCTAATCCCTGCTGTTTCTTGAAGTAAAATAAGTAAAATGACTGTGTAGGGCAGAGATGTGAATGGGTACAGATATTTATTACCTTTGCTTCCAAAGTAGACTTTCTAGGCAGGATTAGAATATTGTAGGGATTCCAAGATTTCTGCTTCCAGCGAAGGCAAAAATGGCAGCATTTACCCAGATCAGATCAACATTTTCGAAGGGCTTTTGGAACACAAATTGAGCGTGTGTGCACTCGTGTGTGAGCAGTCCCCAGCTCTCAGAGCTCTCTGTAAGGAGAGGCAGAGCTCAGGCTCCAAAAGAAACGTGCCTGTCACTTTTTCTTACTTTTTTAGTTTTTGTCAAAATCAAACTTCTTTTGGCTGTCTGCATGTTATAACATTTTTGATGGAGCTTGATGTTTCTTTCTTATCATTCCTTGCTCAACTTTTGCTGAATTTCTTATTCCCATGACTTGTGGCTGGGATTTTTTCTTGCTTACTGCCACAGGTAATGAGCTTGCAAGATTGTGGAAAATCATAGCCTTGCCCACAGGTCTCTGCCAACAGACCTTAGTACTTGACATCTGCAGTGCTCTTGTTCTAGTTTTGCTCATTTCATGCCCAGAAAGAAAGAACTCTTGAAAAAGCACCTACTTTGACTATACTGGATAATGATTACATGTTTTTGGACTGGTTTGGATTTGTACACAGCCAGTGTTAACAGGCTGATTAAGACCCTAGAGACTCACCATTAAAGGTTAATTTTAAATGTGGATGGTAAAGAGACTGTGGTGGTAGAGAGATGTTAAATTTCAGGAAAGCAGCTTAATGAGATTTAAAAGTTGGGTCCATGAGGTGGAACAGGAGAAAGTGTTCAAACGTGCCAGCATGGAAAGGGCAGCAGGGTCACAAATCCACTTTGGTCTCCATCTCGTAGTGGTGGCGCAGGAGTCTCTGCTTCCTCCCTCCAGTACAAACCTGCAGGACAAAAAAATGCATCATTTCCAAATGCACTGCGTGAACGTGTACATCGATGAAACCATACTAGGTGCAGTGAAGTCTGCAAGAAACCGAAGTAGAATATATTAAATATTGAGTCTGAGGAAGCTTTTAGAGAAAGGGGAAGGAGTTCAGAAATAGAAAACAAAATGGATTAATAAAGTCAGATGGTTAGGATGGTTAGGAAGAACAAGGAAATAATTTACAGGTAGAATGAAGGAGGGAAGGGAAAACTGGCAGGGAAGTAGGACTCTTGCCAAATACTGGGAGGTGTAAATTGGAGAGTTGAGGCAATTAACT